GAAAGACAGGCAATATGGAACTTCATTCCCATCAGAATTGGTTCAAAGAGGGAAAAATATATATAGACATTCAGTTGGGTATAGAAATCTACCTTACTCAAAAGAGGAGGGGAAGAGGATAAGAGATGAAGGTTTGGAGGAAGATGATAAAAGGAAGGACAGATTAAGAAAGGCAGCAGTCAAAAGCAAAACAGACTTTTGAGGAGGAAAAGGATAAAGAGAGAGAGAAGGTTAAACTGAAGAAAACAGAATGGAGGAAAATACAATTAGCAATCATAACTGTGAATGTTAATGAAATGAGCTCACCCATAAAATGGAAGCAGGTAGCAGAACGGATTAGAAACCAGAATCCAATATGATATTTACAAGAGACGCACTTGAAAGAAAAACACAGAGTTAAAATAGACCTAATTAAAAGAGATAATCAGGAAAATTACATTTTGCTAAAACAATGAAGCAATATAAAAAAATTTTACAGCAATTTTTTTTGATAAAGGCCTCATTCCTCAAATACATAGGGAACTGAGTCAAATTTACAGAAATAAGAGCCAATCCATGATTGATAAATTGTCAAAAGATGTGAATGGGTACTTTTCAGAAGAAGAAATCAAATCTATCTATCATCATATGAAAAAAATGCTCTAAATAACTACTGATTAGAGAAATGCACATTGAAGCAACTGAGTTACCACCTCACACCTATCAGAAATGAGAAATGCTGGAGCGAATACATGAAAATAGGTACACTAATAAAATGTTGGTGGAGTAAACTGGTCCAAATATTCTAGAAAACAATTTGGAACTATGTCAAAGGACTATAACACTGCGCATACCCTTTGACCCAGTAATACCACTACCCAAATAGAGCAAAGAAAAAGGAAAAGTGCCTACATATACAAAAATATTTATAGCAGCTTTTTTGTAGTGGCAAAGATTTGGAAATTAAGCTCACCAATTGAGGAATGGCTGTACAAGTTGTGGCATATGATTGTAATGGAGTATATTGTGCTCTAAGAAATGATGAGGGGAGTGGTTTCAGAAAAAGAAAAAAAACATGTGAAGACCTATGTGAAGTGATGCAAAGTTAGCAGAACTGGGAGATCATTGTACATAGTAAAAGCAATATTGTAATGATGACCATCTGTGAAAGACTTGGTTACTCTGATCAATACAGTGATGAAAAACAAAGACCTCATGATGAAAAAATGCTATCCACTTCCAGAGAGAAAATGAACTGAAGTATAATTTTCTTGTCTTTTTTTTTTCTGGGAGGGGGAGAGGTGATATTACTAATAAGGAAATGTGCTTTTCATGATTTCACATGTATAACTGCATCATTTGCTTGCCTTCTCAGTGGATGGGGAAGGAGTAAGAGGAAGGGAGAGAATCTGAAACTTAAAATTTAAAAAGAACAAAAATAGTTAAATAATAATTTTTAAAAAATGAATTTGTGAAAATAAAATTATATATATATATATATATATATATATATATATATATATATATTTTTAAAAACCTTTCTGAAAATAACACCATTTTCATCAAAATTCAAATGTGAGAACTAGCCTTAAAACTATCCCCATCACAAAGAACTGGAAATTGAGAGGGTACCCATCATTTGGGGAATGGCTGAACAAGTTGTGGTACATGAATGTAATGGAATACTACTGTGCTATAAGAAAGGAGAAGCAGGCAGACTTCAGAAAAACCTGGACTCACATGAACCGATGCTGAGTGAAGTGAGCAGAACCAAACATCGTACACAGCAAAAGCATCACTGTACAATGATTAACTACAACAGACTTAGCTCTTCTCAGCAATACGATGATCCAAGACCATTCCAGAAGACTCGTGATGAAAAATGTAACCACATCCAGAGAAAGAACTATGGAATCTGAATGCAGATTGAAACATACTATTTTTTTTCACTTTTTTTTTGTTTTTTCTTTCTCATGGTTTTTCCTTTTTGTACTGATTATTCTTTCACAATATGACTAATGTGAAAATATGTTTAATGACTGTACATGTATAACCTATATCAGATTGCTTGATGTCTTCGGGAGGGGCGAGAGGAGAGAGGGAGGGGAAAAATTTGAAACGCTATCTTTACATATAATTGGGGGAAAAAACACTATTAAGGGGAAAAAAAAAGACTTTAGGCTTGTTGACAAAGCCATAAAGGTCAGTTAGGTGCCCTATTCAAAAAAATAAAATTACAAATTAACCAAACTTCAACAAATATAAATATTTCAGTATACAAATAAAAGAAAAAGAATATTATATATGAAAAAAGTGAAAGGAATCAGAAAGGATGAAAGCTACAAAAATATTTGATCTCTTACCTAATGCAAACTTCCAATGGTTTAAGTCTTTTAGATATTTCCTCTAAACAATAATTAATACATGGACTAGACCAGGAATGGGGAAGCTGAGGCCTCGAGGCCACAGGTTCCTCACCCCTGGACTAAATTATAAAAAACAGAAGCCAGAAATTAAGAACTATTAAACGTATTTAGTGCAAAAAAAAATCACTAATTCAATATTAAAGAATTTGATAATGATCAAATTCACAAAGCTGAAATTTAGCTTACTGTAATAGAATATTATAGATTACTAATTTATATCTTTAAAGTAACAATGTTTCTATGGCAATTTTATGTTATGAATTTCCTGACTCATATCTGTATCAACTATATTTCATTTAAAAAGCAGATAATACTCATTTTAAAAGCACAAAGTGAAGTATTTAACGTATTTATAAAAAAGGAGTTATTGAGAAAATCTGATAACTGAAAGCAATTATTATTTATAAGTTATAAATATTTCCCTATTTCTGAATGGAATTTACTAACCATTTAAAAATTTTTTTTCATTTATAAATTGCTTTACGGACAAATAGCTGCCATTTCCTATAACCTAGAAAACATGAAAATCAAAAGAAGCATAAAAATATCCCACAGGGCATGAGATGCTAGCAGAAAGATGTCAGGATAATAGGAGCACTCCTCCACAAGGAGAATTTCCTACAACTACAGTGGCACTAGATGTGAAATGATGGAGAATCCTGTTAGAGGTCTAGTACTTCTTTTGTTTAGCAACTCAAGCAAATCTGTATCTCTACCTTTTGAAGTAGTATTTTTTTCCCTAATGAACAAGCATGTATTTTACTACCTAAACAGTTCGATTCTCTGGTCTAAACCAATGCTTCTTTCCTTTCAGTGGTGTCGATAATTTCACAATAACTCACTATAACACTTAGCACAGCGACTGACACACAATAGGTACTGAATAAATGTTGATTAATTGATTTCTCATACTCTATTTTGCAAAGGAGGAATTTAAATACAAGACTATATGGAAGCTATAAATTTAATTTAAAAACTTCTTATTTTTTAGAATTGCTGTTTTAACAAAGGTCATGTTTTACCAAAAACAAAAAAAAAAGCAAGCTGTTTTCCAACCCCAAGGGATGCTTATCCAAATACTCTAAAACATCACTACATGTGCAAATGTAACAGGATTAATAACTGATTTCTCAAACCATCATCACCAAATTACAATTTTAAACCAGCCTTGTAGAAACCTTGTAGAATTCACTATAAAGACTCAAATTCCTTAAGAACCTAGCCAATAGTTCATAAATATTCACATTCCTAAAGAGTCTGGCCAATATGGCGGATCTTTAATAAACCTTATCTTTGGCTGAAAAAAAAATCACTATAAAGCAGACACTGAATACATATTGATTGAATAAATGTAAGGTGTGATTCCCAACAAATATCATTTAGTGGAAAGCTAGTTAACTCTTATTAAAGGAAGTTCTGCAGATTTAATTTCCAACACACTTTTTAGACCCTCAAAAGTTATAAAGGTGGGGGCAGCTAGGTGGTGCAGTGGAAAGAGCACCGACCCTGAAGACAGGAGGACCTGAATTCAAATCCAGCCTCAGACCAAACACTTGACACTTACTAGCTGTGTGACCCTGGGCAAGTCATTTAACCCCAACTGCCAAAAAAAAAAAGTTACAAAGGGTTCAGCTGCTTCTGTGTCACCTAGCACTGCCACACTCCCAGCTCCAACTATGGTCTAATCCTGGAGTGGGGAGACACACTTGAGGACCTACTTAGAGGGCCACATGTGGCCTTGAGGGCACAGGTTCCCCATTCCTGTTCTAACTTCTCACTGATTGACAACCTATCTGCATTCCTTGTACCTCTTGTCACAAGCAATATTAGAAGTCCTCCTAAGTTAGAGACAATAATAAGGCAGACAAAATTAACACCCAAATGCTTCTTCCAGATATTATCAAAAGACAGAAAAGAACAGTGAAAACAAGAGAGCTTTAGGAAGAAATAGCTCAAGATCTTCTGTCTCACAGATGACATATTTCTAATGTACAGATGTGTAGCCAAGAGGAAATATTCTACTATCAAATTTTGTATAACCTCATAACAAAAACTTCATATACAATGTAAATTTAAAGAAAAGACTCCTCAAACATTGATAAATATAGATTTGATCCTGGTTTCCATTTAACTGAAGAATTCTCCACAATTATCTCTGAACTTAGGAACAGGAGGTGAAGACAGAGTTCTAAATACTAATAATACATAACTTATGATTTACCTAATATTTATGTAATTTCTACATTACATATTGTTGTAAACAAATAACCAGATCATGTAATTATCACAATAGCTATATTTAATCTATGGTTAGTTTTATTAAAAGTTAAATGGCCCTTAAATAATGTATGACTTTCAATAAACATTATGCAATATCTGCAAATAGAGAGCAAGCCACACATTGAAAATTTAACAAGATCTTTTCTACCTGTCTTGCTTTATGAGTTGTATTAATGCCATGATTTCTTAGGCAGTTTATTGCTCTTGCATCTGGGGATCGCCCCACATTCCAGTCAGAGACAGCACCACTGTCAGTGATCCACTGTAACACAAAACATATGCATATGCATTTTGAACAAAGGTAAGGTACAGTACCTGCCTGGCAATATGATTCATGGTAATGCCATGTTTCTTCATGCAAGTCTGCCCTCGATAATCAGGGGAGTTTCCTATTTCATATGCAGATGTTGCTGCACTGTCTATCCTCCACTATAGAGGAAAAAACAAAAACAAAAGAATATTTGACATATTCCTCCCCCAAAAGATGTATTGTATGGGATGACCAATGCAAGATACTTAAAGGTACTAGTAACAAACTTACCTTATCTGAAATATTTTGATCAGCTACAAGTTTCCTAAAAACTGCTTCTGCTATAGGTGAGCGACAAATATTACCTTCAAAAACAAAAGGAGAGAATGAAAAATATTTAGAGGTGTAGTAACTATAAGGAGTCCCTGCCACAATTCCCTACAAAAAGTTCCCGGAAACTAGGCTATAAAGATGAATAAGAGTTGTTGTGAGGTTTAAACAAGATAATTATGTAAACTATTTTGCAAAGCTTTAAGTGATATATATATGAATGTCTACTGTTATCTTTCCATTCCAAAAAATTTATAACTGGAGACTGCTTTTCTAAGACCTGTAAAGATGTTTAGAGATCAATTAGGGAAGCAGATCTCCAACTTTTTGGTTTCCAAATACTTTTACACAGTTTAAAAATTACTAATGAAAGAGACTGCAGATCCATATTTAGTGCCTGAGCCAAGATTAGAACCTACCTCTCTGGACTCCTAATCTAGTGATCACTTCGCTGTACCACACTAATCCATGACTATCATCAAATAGCATAATGACCCTGGAAAAGCCTATATTTACATGTTATTGGCTGGGTTTTTGGCTACAAATCTACTCATGTTTTTTGACCCATAATTAACGCTGCAAAACCAACAGTAAGTACTTTAGCACTAAAGCCACATGTTAAAGAAAAAGAAGTTAGATTCCTTGCCCATCCCTCATCAAGAAAACATTTATAGTTACCCCTCAGTGTTCCTTTCAGGTTGCAAGTGTCTGTATAATATACACCACTCTACTGGTTCTCTTTTCCTTTGATGATTAAATGAAACGAGATTTTATTTTGCTTTGCAAATGCCCACTCTTCTTCAGAAGTACTTCTCAGACTATTTCTCAATCTATATTTCAAAACTCTCCACTTATTTTCTAGTAGTTTTCCAAACTGTTGAATGTTGACCCCTAAGGAGGAGGGGGTGGCACAGTCCCTTGTGCTGAGTGGAGGTGGAGGAAAAAAGAAAGGAGGAAGGGTGCAAATAAGGTATCAAATTCTCATTCATTTTGTTAAGTTACATATAATAAATAAGCTGGTTTTAAAAAAATAACTGCAGGTGCAGCTAGATGGCTCAGTGAATAGAGCTCTGGCCTTGGAGTCAGGAGGACCTGAGTTCAAATCCAGCCTCGGACACTTAACACTTACTAGCTGTGTGACCCTGGGCAAGTCACTTAACCCCGATCACATCACCAAAAAAGCAAAACAAAAAAAAAAAACCAGCAACAATTTAAGAATGGTTATAATCATCCGAAAATGCCAACAACTAAATTTAAAGAAATAATTAAATTACTGATGATTTTAAAAAACTGAACTATCAAAATTTTTAGTGCTCTTCAGTTTTTGAAAAATGAAATACTTTTGTCATGAATAAATACATAATGAGTCTGAAACAAAAAAAACACTAAGAAGCTAAAGCTAGTAGAAGCAAAGACGAGACTCAAATTTAAATACTGAAAACTAGAGAAACACAAAATAAAAAGCTCATGTTCACAAAATATAAGTCCATTATGTTTATCATTGGTAATAAGTACTATTACTGAAAAGACTGTTGTTTACTTTGTATGAATGTTTTAGGTGCAGACAGCATGAAACCTAATAATTGAAATGCAATCTTAATTGGTTACACACAAAATACATTGGCAACTGGAGAATATGAAAGAAAATTAGATTTATTTTTGCAAAAGCAAACTTTTTCCAAAACCATTTCTGTGACATCAAAAGGTCTGCCTGTATCAGACTACAAATTATGTAATATGACAAAAATCTTTATTCAATAGAAAAACTGGTATCACCTGAAGTTACTAATAATTAATTAAGGGATGTTTTTCAAATCATATACCAAAGCAGCTTTGCATGGTTCCATACTTAGATAATATGGCAGGAAGGAGAGGTGTGCAAGTGTCTGAAGATCTTTGTTATCAATTACCTAAAAAAATAAAATCTTACAACTTTACACAAGAATTAGATGGAAGCAACAGATGTAGTTAAAGATAATTATTGAGAGAGTGAGTGTGTACATATATATTATCAAAATTAATGCTTGGGAACATTGGGTGCTTTCCAAAATTAATAACAACAATGTCATATAAAAAGAAAAGGTCTACAAAATTGGTCAATTTTAAAAATGAAAATATAATAGAAGTATATTGGACTCATGAAATTTGTACACCCTATATATTATTTCATAGACAATCATTTGTGTGAACAACTGTTTTCCAAAATGTTTAAATATTCAACTATATAGAAAGTCCATTAAAATGAAAGCTCTCCGCATAATCATGTAATGATATGGGGTAGAGGAGATAGATCATTGGGAAATTCTATTACTGTGAAAAGACACTGGTTTCTCTTACCAAAGTATTAAAAAGATGTTTGAAATAATGGAAACTGACATTATGGGAGCAATCTTTTTTAAAAATTTAAACAAAATTCTTTTATCATACAATTTTCCTTCTGAAACTTGTATCTAGTGGTTATTTTTGGAAAAACTAAGAACTACAGAAATAAATTTACAATGTAGTATTTCATCTTTCCCAAATTAAAAAAATAACTCCCCTGCAAATAAATACAAGATCTGTTTATTAATCATTTGACTGGTCTTTACAAACGACTGTCATTTATTAAAAAAGAGCTAGGTATTTACAAATGTGAACAGATAAGAAAAACATATGCCAGTGACAAATAATACATCTGGCCTTATGTTACCTGAACAAGTACAGTTCAAAGGCTTACCAAGTGATAGGATGTTATAACAAGTACTTGAACCTAAAAATCATTTTATGCTTTGCCTTCTAAGTAAAAGCAAAAATAATTTTGCTATTTCTTCATAACATTTTATTTGTATACATAGGGTTTTTTTTCTTCTTTAGCTACAACAAAGATAAATTACTAGTCTCAATTTATGGTTGAAAACAGAATTACAAGTCTAGCTGTGTGACCCTGAGCAAGTCACTTAACCCCAATTGCCTCACCACAAAAAAGTAAAAAAAAAAAAGCATTAGTAGTAATTACAAGTAGTCATCAAAGAAACCAGGTTTTGGGAAATGTTTTACAGAAAAAAGAGTCTATGATACTAATATTTTTTATTATGGTAATTTACAGAAACTATAAATGAGAAAACTATAAAGGATTTTATCAATAAAATTTTATGTAAATTGTTTTTATTCTGTGTTAATGTTCTGTTATAAAAACTAATAAAATCTTAGTGTTATTTGAATTAAAATGATGCTAAAAAGTTTTTTTTTTAAAAGGATATATCACTATACAAAATTTGGAAACTGCTATATAAGAATCTGTCACAACTGAAGGGAAGCACTAATGAGAAAAAGATAGCTCAAAACTAACTAGATTTTGGGGGCAGCTGGGTGGCGTAGTGGATAGAGCACTGGCCTTGGAGTCAGGAGAACCTGAGTTCAAATCCCATCTCAGACCAAACACTTGACACTTATAGTTGTGTGACCCTGGGCAAATCACTTAACCCCAATTGCCTAAAAATAAATAAAAACAAGTAGATTTTTAACAAGTATTTGACAGTTTCAGTAATAAATTTTCCTTTTAAACTGAACAGATTTTGTATTACTAACACCTTCATCTCTAGGGACATAGTTTGGGTTGCTATGTGAACACACATTATTTCTTCAACTCTTCCAGCAATAACAGATTTTTCATCAACATTTCATTCTGATTCTTTTGAGAATTTGAACAAATAAACTAAGCTTTGGTTAGTGGAACACATAGAGATAGCTGGAACACTTTACAAAGAGTTACTAACATAAAAATGTGTAGGTAGATCACTCAGTCATTTAAAAATTAATTTTAAACTTGTTTTGCAGATATATTATTTAATATCTAAAGATAACATTTATTTTCTCCCCAAAGTTTACTGACTTACTCTTGGCCAACTTTCACTGCTTTTCATCACTTTTCTACCAAATTTTAAACTACATAACTCTCAGAGATCATGTTTGTTCATTCTTAAGTTAAAATTATACTTCATACTACATACCACAAAATAAATTCCAAATGGATAAATAACCTAGATATAAAAAGGTCACATCATAAACAAATTAGAGAAACAAGAAGAAATAACCTTTCCAGAACTATAGAGAGGACAAGAGTTTATGATCAAATAAGGGATAAGAAAATCACAGAGGATAAAATGGGCAATTGTGATCACACAAAATTTAAAAGGTTTTGCACAAACTTTTGCAACGCTGCCAAGATTAAAAGGAGACTATTTAACTAGGGAAAAAAAATGAAACTTTACAAGCTGTTTCTCTGGTAAAGGTCTCATTTCTAAGATTTATATTAAAAAAAAGATTTTACATAACTAATTTTTCCAGGTAGGGTTTGCCGTTTGCTGCTTTAAGCACCAAGTTTTCTTCTTTATTTTCACTATGGTTGATGGAAATCTTTCAAAACTGTTTTACACTCTTCCTTACTGTCTTTACATAGTGATTTTGCACAAAACTGGTACCAATAAATGTTTGCTTATTTAATAATTTAACTATAATGATGACTGAATCATAAATTATTCTATGATGCTGCAATATCTGATACTCATAAGGACTTGAAGCATACAGGAAAGAAGTTTAGGGAACTCGCATCAGATTCAATTCAACATACATTTATTAAGTGCCTACTGAATACAAAGCACAATGCACACTGCCAAGTGATAGTATGTCATAACTATGTTGCATGTTGTGCTGGACATACAATATTCAGACATAAGACCAGGGTTTTTGCCCTAATGAAGCTTAGGAGTCTAGTGCAGAGAGCTCTAAACTTTTCTGGTCAGGCACTGCTATCAAATAAAAAGTTTTTGAGCATATACAATGTATATACAAATATTTATTCATATGCTAACATTTTAATAATAAAAACTACATACTTTTTAAAAAAGTGTATCTATTATCAACTAAGTTGTCTACTATAAGCAAGCAATAAATTTTGAGGGCAATAAACCCATTTTCAATACTAACAGTCATAAATCTACCAAACAACTTATCTTACCTACACCACAGGATTGTGAGTAAAGTGTTCCATATACATTCTCTATACCTGGTGAAAATATTTATGGATCGGTGATCCCATCAGTGTGGGTACTCCTTTAATGACTGTAGGTCATAGATCATCCACATCTTCTGTATTTGTACAATTCTTGTCCCCATCTTTCCATAAATCCCACAAGTTCTATGCAACAAACTAGAGGCCTTCTAGGTCCTTTTTAATTTCATGATTATTGCTAAAAGTTATATTTTTCATTCTTTACTCTTAATATATAGATCATAGATTTGGGGCTGAAAGAAACTTTCAAGATCATGTGGTCCAACCCCTTCATTTCACAGATGAGGAAACTGAAACCCAGAGAGGTGAAGTGATTTGTCCAAGGCCACACAGCTAATAAGTAAAGGAGTAAGGATTAAATATGGATCCTTTGATTCCACAACTGAAAGTCTTTTGACTACATTATGCCTCCATGAAAACTTCTCTGATTCCCTGTTAGTAAAATGCTCAGATGTGACATAGCATTTTATTTTGCTAACTCTTTAAAAATTTTTCATATTATTTGCAAAATCACATATTATAATAAACTGCATATGTCTCACCCCAATGCCTTTGCACAGGCTATCCACACCTGGATACTCTCTGTTCTTAGAGCTGCTTCTTCAACTCTCAAGCTCCTTTTCAAGGCTCAGGTCAAGTGTCACCTCCTCTATGAGGCACTTTCAGATTCCTCCAGCTCTTAGTATTCTCTTCTCCACCAAATTACTGTTTTATTTTAGGGCCTATTTCATCTTTAGCTCTAGAGCATGGATCCTTAACCTTTTTAGATGTTTCTAAATGTATAAAATACATGCAATTATAAAGGAAAACAATTGCAACTGAAATACAGTCACCAAAACATTTTTTAAAATTAGTTCACAGATGCCAGGTTAAGAACTCCTGTCCTATAGCTTAGCACAATGTCTGACATACAGCAGGCATTTTAAAATGTAAGTTGGATGGAATATATCACTCAGTCTATAAGCTAAGTTTTGTACCTCTTCCAGATCCTAATAGAGAACTCAGCACAAAGCAGGTACTGCATTACAGGTTTGTTGAATGAATGAATTCCAAGTAGAGGAAAGGACTGCTGCACTGGATTATCTATTATCACCTGTGAATGGGGGGGGGGGGCGAAGACTAGCTTACATCATGTGGAAGCAGTCTGATACATTACAAAGCCATGAAGGTAAAACCATGGAGAGATAACTAAGGTTTTCTCCTAGAAGCTGACATACTGGTAGGTCATATTAAACATTGTCTTTAAAAAAACATTACAAAGAATCTCCAAACTGTCTGAAATTCAATTGCTAAAACTAAAAGCAAATATTTGGGTTGCCCTAAAGTAAGCAGTGACATTTCTATTTCTGTCATGTAGCATACTACAGTACACAGCTTTTTACCAAAAACCAGTCAATAGTTTCCAAACTAACTTAAACGTGTACTTGAAGATGACAGTAACTTATGTCTCAGAGTAAGGGTTTATTTACACATATTCTCTTCCCAAAACAGAGAAATAGCATTATAGGAGTGGAACAGGTTTATTAAGATGTGTTTAAACACAAAAAAACTGTAAAGCAGAGTTCTTAACTTGGGAGTCCATGAAAAACTGTGTCTGTATGTCTGAGGAGTCCATAGGTTTCAATAGGCTGTAAAAGGGTCAATGACCCCTGCACTAAAGAACTTTCCAATGTAGAAGTATAATTATACTATGTAAAAGATCAGTGCCCTGGTTTGAAAACTTTTCATTTGAAATTGAGTTTTTAAAAAATTTAATACAATTAAAAATATATAATACTTTAGCTTTCACCAGGGTAATATCTCTAAAGACTTCCTAAACAAACAGGTGAACAACGTAGAAAGAATTGTCAGCTGAAAGGACTAGGTTCAAGACCTGGTTCTGCAATAGAGTATTGATGTCCTTGACCAAGTGAATTAACTTCTCTGAACCTCCACGCTTCCCAGAACTCTGTCCTAAGCCCTACTCTCCTTTCTCTTTATACTACCTCATTTGGTGATCATAGCAGCTCCCGTTGGGTTTAATTATCATTCCTAAAGAAATGATGCCCAAATCTACGTATCTAGCCCAAGTCTCTCTATTGAGCTACTATCCTGAATTATCAATTGCACTTTTTTTAATATCTCATATCTCCACAGGCATTGTGATCTCAACAGGGTCAAAAAAGAACTCATTATCTTTCTCCAAAAATCCTTCTCTCTTCCAAAGTTACCTATCACTGTCCAGGGCAACACCATCCTTCTAGTCATCCACACTTACTATCTTGGTGTCATCCTGTCTAACTCTTCACTCACCTCCACATAGCCAAATCTTTTCTGTTTCTTTCTTTCTCGATATCCTCTTTTTACTCTCATTTACCTCATATATCTAATCTGTTGCTAAATAGTCTTCTTTCCACCTTGACATCATCTATCTCTCTCTGCTCTTACAGTCACTACCATACCTCTCAGGCTATCATGACCTCTAGCCTGGGCTATTTTAAGAGCTTTTAAATTGGTTTCCCTGCCTTAAGTCTTCCTATTTCAAACCATCCTCCGCTGAGCTGCTAAAGCGATTTTCCTAAAGGTCATATCACCTCGTAGTCATCCTCCACCACAAACACACTCAGTAATACCAGTGACTCTTTATTACCCCCAGGATCAAACATATCTTCTATTTGGCATTTAAAGTGCTTCACAACTTGATCCTTTTACTTTTCCAGTCTAATGACACTTTATTCCCTTCCACGGGAAGAGAATTATATTCTATGATTTCAGCCACACTCTCCTAACCCAATCTCTGTGCCATTGCATTGGCTGCCCTCCATGAATGGAACGATTTCTCCTCACCTCTGATTGGTTTGTCTCACTTCAACTCATAGGAGCACTTTTTGCAGGAGGTCTTTTCTGGTGCTCCCACTTGCTAGTGAGCCAGTGCCTTCCCATCTTTGATTACCTTCAACCTCTTTCATATATATTCTCATATGTATATAGGTGAGTATATACACACACACATATATATGTATAAATGTTTGACAAATTTTTGCAGACTATAAGAGTAGTACAGTGTAGTACAGGTTCACATCTTGGCTCCGCTAAGGAGTAAATGTGTGAATCTGCTTGATTGACTTCTTTGAAACTTTAGTGTCCTTATCCTTAAGATGGGTTTATTATTTGTACAACCTACCTCACAAGGCTAACATGAAGGAAACATATTATAAAGCACTATATTCTTCAGAAACTCATTTTATGTACTTCAAAATGCTCTGAAATATCAATACTCTCAACGTTTTCCTGAGATGGTTTAATACATAAATTCACCTCTATACTTCAATAAGAAACTGGGAAGAATCCCAGACCAAAGATATCTCTATAGTTGTGGAGAACATAAGTAACAGCTGCCTTTCTTTAGATTGACATTTATCTTAACCAAGCATTTATCTTACACAAACAGAAGAACATGTAATATTCTTGCCAGAGTAAAGTACTTGCTGAAAGTACCAAAGTAATAAACTTAGGTGAACTAAATGATTTAATCAGGAACCTTAATCTTTAAGATAGCAACAACTTGATAACTTCTTACCTACCACCCTCTGGCTCTACTTTAAGAGAGGCCCTAAAGAGTCCTTTGGATTTTTTTTAAGGCCCAAAGCACTCTGATATAAGAGACAAGGATTACTATCACTCAGCAATAACCACAGTGTAAGGCAAAACAAAAACAGAGAAAATGAAATATCTTGCCACAGTTAATAGGGAAGCTTTCTCTTTTCCCACGGGGAAAAAAAATAATGGACTTAAAATCAGGCTGACCCAGGTTGCAATTCTACATTAAGCACAGACTCTGATTTTGGGTACCTCATCAAAAATTTATGAAGTGACAACTGCCAGGTGGTGACCTATAATTGTTGTAGTTGATAGAACTACAAAGAAAAAAATATCTTTACCCTCACAAGCTTACATGGGGAAGGGAAAGGATACATATAAGTACTGAGAAAAGTAAATACAAAATATGAGTACAATCAAGAAAGAAAGCAGGCTAACTACCAAAATAAGGAAGACCTATGTAGGAGCTGTTCTTTGAAGGAAGGTGTGGTTTCTAAAATGGAGATGAAGAGGCAGTTTATTACAGAAATTGTCGACCACCTGTGAAAATACTTGTGAGGACAGCAGGTGGAATGTCTTAAACTGGCAAAAGTAAGCTAGTTTGCCTAAGAGAGAGGGGGCAAATGGGAGAGAGTAGGAAGGGGAAGAAAGATGGGAGGGAAGGAAGGAGAGTGAGGAATAAGAGAAGAATAATATGAAATAAGACCGAACAGGTATAAAGGATGATGGAGGGCTTTAGATACCATGCGGAAAATTTATTTTCACCCTTGGGCAACAGAGAAACTGAAGATTTTTTCAGTAGGGTAGTGGCATGGTCAGAACTGTGTTGGGTCGTTGAATTATCTCTTGGCCTCTGTTTCTTCATCTGTAAAGTGGGACGAATACCTTTACTGCCTGCTGATAGGTCATTCTGAGGATCTAAGTCAAGCAACGGAAGCCAAGTTGCAGCCTAAAAAACACCATTCAGATGCCGGCTATAATTAATACGACCAAGATAACCTTCAGCAGCTAGAAGAGGGAAGAAATGAGGATAAATGAGAAGGGCAAGGAGTCGGGACAAGTGAGGGATGAAGGAGCAGGGAGAGAAAGCCCCTCAGGACAGAGAGAGGAGGGGTGGAATGGCGATGCCGGGGTATCCCTCTCTAAGACCAGGACACGGAGATCTCAGAGCTACTTTCCTCATCATCCAGCAGAACCCAAAGATGGAGGGGGGGAGGAGGAGGCAGCACTTTCTTACCCAGACACACGAACAGCACAGACCTCGTTCCCTCTGCGGCCATTTTTAATTTCCTACTGCAGGTCTTCCTCACTTCCGGTCCACTAACCGGAACCGGCGCAAGAATACAGAGCGTGCGCAGTGCGTAGTAGTGAGGCACAGCGTTGTCAAGCTCCGCCCTGGTGGAGGCGCCGAGGTTGCTTATTGGTCGTCGTTTTCCCTCCCTGTCGGGAGAGAGAGCGGGAGGGAGAGGAAGGATCCGCCCAGTCCCCTGCTGCGTGCTGAGAATCTCTTGTCAAAACTAATCAGACTGCCAGCTTACCGCTGGGTGCCTTAGCTACGCGTAGAAGCCGACTCATCTTCCTCTGGACCTCCTGGCTAGATGTCCAGGGAAGCTAGGAGCCCCTGTGTGCAACGGCTGTTTGCCTAGACATAGTGAAACGAGCGGAGGGCAGCCAGGAAGAGGACTACGTGGAGGGCTCTGCCCCTTAGTTTAGAACCTATCTCTCAAAAGCTTTCCCTACCTCATAACTGGACAGAAGCTGCTCTCTCTGCAATTACCAATCATACTTTAATTGCCAAATTAATTGTGTCTTTGGCTTGAATAAAGCACCTACTATGTGTTGGGCACTGTCCTAAGGTCTGGGGTTACAAAAAGAGTTTAGACAGTGCCTGCTCTCAAGGAGCTTACAATCTAGTGGGAGCTGCCTGTTGTTGTTTTTTTTAATGGTATGGGTGATGTCTTTTGATTGGTGCATAGACTGGATCTAAGTGAAGTGTAGTTGCACAAAGTTGTTGGCCTCATTCTCTCTTCCAGAGTCATCACAGTCCAGTGGCAGGACAGAGTCAAGATAACTGGTGATGGCTGGAGATGCAGTGGATGACCTTGGCATCTTCAGTGTCTAACAAAGATCTAAGTGCCCCACAGCACCTGCTTCATGGCCTTTGGAACAAATTGTTCTCATCCACCCATTTTACCAGAGGAAGTGCCCCAACTCACCCAGGGGTTTGAGACCCCCTTGGTTACCCCGTACCTAGTTTAGCCTGCCTGCCCAAACAGTTTACCAGGGTGTGGCCCTGCACAGGTGTGCATCCTATGGCTTTTTGGAGCCACAGATGAGAGTTAGGTGGATCAGATGGACACCAAAGGTGGAAAGCAGCCCTCACACTAGAGGTACTAGCCTTCCCTGAACATACCCTACATCCCAGTGGAAGAAACAACAGGCAAACAAATATATAAAGACAAGATGTATACAGAGTCAATAAGAAGGAATTAAAGGACAGAAAGCTCAAAAATTAAAAGGAGATAGGAAAAACTTCTTGTAGAAGATGAAATTTTAATTAGGATTTGAAGGAAGCCTAAAGGCAAAGATTAGAAGGGAGAGCATTCAGGGTATAGGGGACTGACTGCCAGAGAGCTTGCCTAGAGTGGTGAAGATAACATCTTGTGTGAGGAGTAATGAGGCCAGTGTCAGGAGGCAAAGAAATGAGAAGTAAGAAAACTGCGAGGCTGGGAAAGGGTCAGGGAGCGGGAGCAGCTAGGTTATAAAGATCTTTGAACCAGGCAAACAGGATTTTCTATCTGGTGACAGGGAGTCCTTGGAGTTTTTGGAGGACAATGACATGGTGAGACCTGTAGTTTAGGGAAAACACTTTGGCAACTGAATAGAAGATGGACTTGACTAGGGAGAGACTTATGACAGAAAAACCAATCAACAGAATATTTCAATGGGGTAAATGTGAGGAGATAAGGGCCTGCAACAAAGGTAGTAGAAGTATCAGACACGAGAAGGCATGTTCCAGACATATTACAAAGATTAAATTGATAAGCTTTGACAATGGTTTGGATGTGGGAGGGAGGGTTTGAGAGAGGAGTTTTTAGCTGTGAACCTGATAGACTGGCAGGGTAGTTGTGCCATTTATTACTAATAGGGAAAGTGGGGGGAGGGGGTGGAGCTAGATATCCAGTTCAAGATGTTTGAAAGGAGATGGAAGGTTGGAGGTCAGCCCAGAAGTTAGGGCAAGATATATACATTTAAAAATCATCAGCATAATGGATCATTAAATCCATGAGAGCTGATAAAGTCACCGAATGAAGTAGCATAGAGGGAAAACAGAGAAGGGCCTAGGACAGATCCATATAGTTAAAAAGAATGACTTGAATAGTGAGACAGCAAAGAAAATGAGCAGTGGACTGATAGGTGAACCAGGAAAGAGGAGTATTCTAAAAACCTGGAAAGAAGAGAGTATTAAAGGAGAAAAGGATGATCAATAATGTTAAAAGTTACAGAGAGGTCAAGAAGAACTAAGAAAAGGCCATTGGATTTGGCAATTATTAAACAAATAAACACACTGACTACTCTATTTCTTAGGAAATAGACACAGGAGGGCTTCTAGCACCTATCTCATTTGCAGGTTGGCTTTGATCCTGTCAGACAGGAAGACAGGAATGGAGTCATAATAAGGGGTTAAATAAGCTTTATTCTAGTCTAGTATTCTCAAAGGGAGTTTGCTGATAATGGGAGCAACAACTCCTACAGCATTCCCTAACAACCCTTTTCACAGGGGCTGGGGTGAAGGGGGGGCAACTACCCATTGCCTCCATGGGATCAGTGGAGACCAGCACGACTTGTGCTCTTCCCTAAATCCCCTCAAGCCTCAATGGAGGCCAGTTGAGATAAACATGCAGATTAAGGCCGGAACAGCATTCAGCCTACACATTCACCCTTATGGGGGTCCCCAGTCACTGACCAATGCCCACTTGCTTTATAGGGCAACAGACAAAGAAGGCATATTGCCAGAAATAGTCTCACAATTTTACATCTCTTCATCCCTATACCTACTGCGCAAGCATAGTAGAAACTGTTTTGAACATGATTGTGAGAACTCATATCTAACACCTGGGAAGTAGAGATTGTTATGGCTATGGATCCTGGGAAGAAAACTTTAAGAAAGAATAACAAAAAATCCATTTTACATCCACTAAAATTCACCTTATTTACAGCAATTAAGAGATTAGTAATTTTGGAGAAAATTTTGATGGCATGATGAGATCAGAGGAAAGTGGAGGCATCATTTATAGACTACCTTCTCAAAGAATTTAGCCACACAGGGCAAAAAAGATCAATGATAGTTACCAAGGATGGAAGGATCAAGTCATCTTAAATATTCTCCCTGCCTCAAGTTTCTCCCCACTTCAGTCTGTGTTCCACGTAGCTGCCAAATCAATTTCCTTTAAGCACATGTGACCCAGGCTTGTCTGGGCATGTCCAGTTTGACTAACATGGAGGTGCCCTTGATGGCATTTAGATCATGCCCCAGATTAACTAACAGGGAAGCCTCTGCAGTGTTGGAAGCCTTTGATTGGTTATGTGTCTTTAAAACTGGAGGTTTCTTTTCACCTTTTTACTGTGTCCAGAAGGGAAAGATCACAGTTGGCCCACAGCATGGATACCCCATGAATTGAAACAGTGAGAAAAGAAGTGAAGTGGAATGGGACCTGGACCCTAGAAGGAAAAGACCATGTCTTTGCCCCTGAACTTTCCCACACATTTCCACCTAGGTATTTTCAGCAGTCCTTTTAATTGCCCTTTCACTGTGGCTCTCTGACTGATGAGGTCTAGAAGTTTAGGGGTGCTGGGACCTTGAAATCATGACAAGCGGGTCCTGCCCAAATGAATTGACCCACGCCTTCTTTTGGCCAGAGACAAGGTTTATTAAAGATGGCCATATTGGCCAGACTCTTAAGGACTCTGAACATTTGCAAGCTATTGTAAGCTATTCTTAAGGAATCTGAACACCTTAATGGAGACAAGATGGACCTTATATGCAGAAAGACTGTGGGAGACATCTAGGAAGGCTCTTGATGGGAGTGACTAGGAGGTTGAGAATGGGATCTAAATAGGGTCAAGGGTGAGAAGTAGCCAGAGACCATAGGGTGGTAAGACAATGGAGGGGTAGGCTAGGTTAAGGGTAACAGAATTGGGAGATTGGGCATAGGTGATAACAAAAAGCCAATTGATGGGACTATAGACTCAGGGGAACACCAGAGACTTCCTTGATCCAGTGGGAGAATTCAAATCCTAGACAAATGGGACCCAAATTCTTTATGGGGTAAGGGGTGAAGGTCTCAGCTTGGGTCCATACCCTACCATGACCACTTAACTCCTTTCATTGTCTGCACCTGGGCTATGCCAAGCTGCTTGCCACTCCTTAATCCCATCCAGACCTTCTCACAGTCTTTTCTTGGCATTATAATACTTGGAATCTTGCCCACCTAACTGATGTTATAATAAAACATCACTACTCTGACTTAAAGTAAGCTTGAGTGGTTGAATCCTTTTGAGGCAGACCCCCCTGTACTCCTGCATTTTGGGGTTCCCAGCACCCCAAACTGCAACAGGACTGTCTTCTCTTGCTCTCTCTTGCTCCCTCTTTTACCCCTGGCTGGGAGTGTGGGAGGGGTTGGTGTGGTTGCTTATGTCCTGTCTTGTTTGTCCTCAGTCGCAGGTCAAAAGTTATCCTTACAGGACTTGGGAATTCAAGCCATGATGACCTTGGAACTAGGAGAGATGCTGCAGTCAAGCATCTGCGAAAGGAAACCCTGAGATGCTAGGGTGCTTAAGACTTGTCAAGCCTGAGGAGGGTTGTTGACTAGAGGCTGGGACTCTATAGGACCTGAGCTAATCTATAAACATAATTCTCTTACCCTCCCCAGAGACTAAATTGGTAAAAGAGGGAAGGAGTATTATGCTTCCCATGTGTTGAGAGGTATGTTTGTATACATGTGATTTTTCCTTTTGAAGTAAATATTTCTGTGTAAAAGTTAATCTATTAGTGGCTAAATGAACTGGGGTGCAGAAGGCCCCTCCTCACATTTGGAAGAATACCTTTGGTGGACAGGAGCCATTTCCACAGAGCGTGGACATCCTCCAAACCTATTAAAGGTATTCAATACCATCTTTTACCTGAAGACTTTCCTGATTCCCTTACCTTTACTGGTCATCTCTCTCCAACTACCTTTTATTTAACACTTTTGTATTCATTTGTATTCTCTTTATATTGATTCTATGTTGTGAAAATGATTATTAATAACCAATATCTTGGGGAGATTCAGAGCTCCTCCCCTCTCCCAAAGTCCTAACTTTTAAGTTTGGTTTTTCTTCAGAAGGACATTACAGGAAATGAGATTGCATTGACTCTCCTTAAAATGGTCAGCCCCAACCCAAGCATACAAGGAATTTAATCTAAAGCCATTGTGTTCTGCTCAAACTTGGGTGGGGACAGATTCTTTTTTCTAGATGGCCCAAGGCTGGGAGTGGTCTGGTATAGCTGGGGGTGGTCTGGTGTCGATATATAGATATAGATACAGATATGATGGGGGTGGGGCCCAAACCAAGATCTTCACCCTTTGCCCCAAAGGGAATCTGACTCACAGGCCCCAGAGCCTCATCTCCCTTGAAAACCCTTAAACCTTCAAATTGCCTAATCGACTCCCCTCATATCCCTTTGAAAACCTTAGGCTCCCTTTTGTCTATAGGCCCCAGAAAGGCCTTCCTTATAGACTTCCTTTTTCTCCTTTTGAAAGTCCTAGCCCCACCTTGATTTTGTGCAGATGCCTTTCAAACTTCTGCCTTCCTGTTCCCTCCATTATCTATTCCCATTGTCTATTCAATCTCTCTGACCTCCCCAATTAGAATTCTTACCTAGACCCTTTTCCCAACCCCCTTCTCTGGCCACCCAAAGTTACTTTAGTATTTAAGATCCACCTTGGCCCTCATTCAGAGGCTGAGAATCTCACACTCAAAAGGCTGAGAACTTCTCATGCCCACTCATCTTTATGGGCATCACCTGGCTGAGAATCTCTCATGCCCCAAAGGCTGAGCCTTTCTCATGCCCACCTGTCCTTATGGGCATCATCTGGCCTATGTGATTTATCACTAATAAACTTTTTCTCTGGCTGAAGAAGATTTGAGTTGAATTCATTCAACAGGGCCCGGTACCGCGATCTTGGGGTCCCAGCACCCCAAAACCCCTAGTCCTCTTCAGATATACATAGATATATTTTTTTTCCGGTACAGAAGTGAAATGATGGAGTGACATCAGCCCCTGTTGGAAGGATATATAAACTGTGCAGCCTGACCCCCAAGTAAGCTCAGTTGCTGACTGCCATTTATATGTGTGCCTGCCTACTTTGAGAGAAATGAGAAATAAATGGCCATACAGCCTGATTCTGTCTTTCTTAGACTGAACTCTGGAGGTTGACAATATATACTTATATATGCCCTTGTCTCTATTTATTTTGTATATAAGTATATTTGTCCTTGTTGTCTCCTTTAGAATGTGATTTCTTTGTAAGTAGGAGAGTTTCATTCATTGTGTTTGTATCCCTAGTATCTAACACAGTGCCTGTGACATACTTAATAATATACTTGCTTAATAAATACTTGCTGGTTGACTGATGGTGCTTCCCCCAATAGATAAGAGCAGGCACTAAAAGAACTGTATGGTACCTTAGATGTTGAAGATGTTAACACACACACACACTCGTGCAGGGCCAGATATCTATGACCAAACCAATCAGGCCCTCCTCTGAAGTTCCTTCAAGGTAACCCTTTAACTAGGACCTATATCTGGAGTGAAATTTAGATGCCATCCAATCCAAACCACTCCCTCCTCCTTCCAGATGAGGAAAGTGAGGGCCAAAGAAAATGAAGTGATTGGCTGGAGGCTGAGGAGGAATTTAAACTCAAGTTTTCCAACTTCCCCTCCAGCCATTTTCCATTGTATCATTGAATATAGGTCATTTAAGGCTTAAAATGCGTTGTTTTCTTTTGTTTTCCAGACAATATAACAGTAGCTCCTGACAAAATGTTCAGTCCCATCTCTTTGTGAAGCCATTTGTGGTTTTCTTACTAAAAATATTGAAGTAGTTTACCATTTCCTTCTCTAGTTGGCTTTTTTTTTAAACAGTGGGGGAACTGAGGCAAACAAGATTAAGTGACAGAGCTAGTAAGTGTCTGAGGCCAGATTTGAACTCAGGAAGATGAGTCTTCTTGACTTCAGACCCTGCATTCTATCCACTGAGAAGCTTCCCTGCCCTACTGTCTTTCATACCATGGATAATAAATATTTACAAGTATTAATAAATATTTGTTGAACTGAACAACCCTACGAGGTAAATAGTTAAAATATTTGTTTCCATTTAACATACATGGACACAGGACCGTAGAAGGAAAATGATCCCCCAAGGTCAAGCATCTCTAGTTATTCATTCATTCAACATTTCCACATTTGCCTGCCTTTCTCTGACAGAAATTCTATTATTTCCCAAGTTACTGGTAGTTATTATTTAATGATAGCTTAAAATCATATGGTGCTTAGTTTAAATGTGCTTACACACATTGTCTTAGAGAAAAGTTAGGCAAAAATGAAGAAAGCTATCATATCTTATTGCTTAAGTTTGTTAGATGCTATGGTAGAGACAAAGATTAGATAAATATAACCTCTACTTCTGAAGATAAGTTCTCTGGAGGAAAACAAAACAAAGGGAGCCACCTTTTTAATCTTTTCAATACATACAGTTAAGGCTTTTTAGTAATATTCAACTATTGTGAAGCACACAAAAGGATAATCCAAGCATTTCACCTTGGGAACATGATCAAAAGAATGGATTCTATTGATCAGAGCCCATACCTGCTCCTAGACTGCGGTAGTAATTGGCTCCTCCCTGTACCTACTTTCCATGGGTTCCAGACACCAACCCATTGGCCCTAGTCCTTTTCCTTTCTTTTACCCCATTGCTCCTCCCAGTGCTTGCCCGTCCTACCTAACTCTTTTACCCCCTTAACTCTTCCTCGTTTTGGGGAAGTGGAGTTCTGAAGCCACCGAGAAATGGAAGCTCTAAGTGCAGGTAGGTATACAAACCTAGCTGGAACAGTTCATACTTGTTTTTCGTTTTATTTTATAAGGAAGGTTTTCATATAGGCTCTATCTCCTTCCTAGTTTTCTCTTCGCCAAACTGTCGCAAATCCCTGGAGTGGAGAGGTGGATCGGCCCTTCGCGTTATAAAAGGAATCAGTGGTGTGCCTACGAGATTTGCCCGACTTAAAATAAATGGCGGGGGGTGGAAAGGTGTGGGAAAGATTTTAGCATCCTAGATTTAGAGCTGAAAGGGAGAGGTATGTATCAAATCAAGCTGAGTACCTGACCAGCGTAACAAATAGTTCTTTCACCCAGGACTATTTACTGGCCAGGAAGTTTAGGCAGAGGTCAGGTGTGTCCCTGTGCCTTTACCTGCTCCAGGTATGCAGATCTCAGAGGACCTTCCCTTCTTTTGGGAGGCGGAGCTGAGCAGAGCCTCAGCAAGAGCAGAGCGAACTTTTTCCTCTTCCTTTCTGCATATTTTGGGGCTGTGCTTCGAGTTCTGGGAGTCACAAGTAAGTACAGCTCATTGGGCAGTGAATATTAGAATATTAACTTGACTCAGCAGAGAGTTGTGCGCGACGGTGTAGGGGCTTGAGGGCTAATTTCCTTTGGGTTCTTTATGTTGATGATTACGGTATTGTTTCTCAACCTTTTGAAATCTTTCTCAAACTGTGTAAACTTTGTGCATGTGAAATGCTTCCCAAACTAAGGAGAATTCCAGGATCCATGGTGGGCTTAACTTTTTTTTCTTTTTCTTTTTTTTTGTGGCTTAACATCTTGGGGGGAGAGAATAATTGATGTTTTGAATACTAATGCTTTATTTGCAACGAATTTATATGAGACTTTGCTTTCCTTCATGAAATGTTGGCTAATAACTCCCTAAATATTTTTAGTTACATTTCTCTCCTGTATTATCGTTATTATTATTATCATTATCATTGTGATTATTGGCCTGCATGTCTCGAAGCTTTCACAGAACCTTAGGATTTTAAAGCTGGAAGGGGTTTAAGAAGTTTCTTGGTTCTCTCTCCCAATAGATTGTAAGCTTCTTGAAAGCAGGTCATTAAGATAGCTATAAAGTACACGGTGTTGTCTTTATACATATCTTGGTCTCACTAAATCTAGTACTTGCCTTCCAATGTACTAGAATTAATGGTTCTTTTGATAAGGAGATATGAATTTCCCTTATCAGGATGAACATCAGAAAATGCTTGTTCTGGTTGGCTTTATTCTGTTGTCATAATTATTCTATGCTGATTTTGTTGAAGCAACAGAATCAAGGTGTTTTTGTTTGCATTATTTATCTTTATGTTTTTTGCTTTTGCCTTGTGACATACCCATTTAGAAAGCTTGCTTTTGTGTGTATTTGGAATGATAAATAAGAAAATGCTTGCATTAATAATGATTTACTCAAAATGTGTGCTTATATAGTTCAGGGAAATCACAAGTTACTGGTTTAAAGTGGTATTTACTCTGCTGTTCTGTTCTTTATTGAAATGTTTGGGAGGGTGACTAACTACTAAAGTGTTTTCAAATTACTGTGTTGGAGCTTAAAACAACCAAAGTAAGTTATAGCTTCCATCCTGTTTGTCATGTTTAAATTTATTAAGTGGGAAGGGCAGCTTGGTGGCAATGAGTTCATGCTTATTTAAGGAACCTTTCTGTAACAGCAACATGTACATACACTGTCCCTTTTTTTCTGAATGCAGATTTAAAACACAAACAAACCAAAACAAACCCTTCCCTACCATGAGTTGAGCTGTTGGTTTTATTTAAAGCAGTTTTCACTCACAAGAGATTCCATTAAATAGAAATAAAGCTTTGGTTTCTCAGTATGGGAGAACTGATATAGGTTAAAAGGGCATCTGTGAGTTAGAGGCTGGAAGGTGTAGTGGGAAATGAACAGATTTGCCTTTCAAAGACATGACTTCAAATTCTTCCTCTTTTACTGTGCTGGCTGTCTGATCATGATCTTGGATCCTGGTTTCATTGTCTCCAGAAAGAAGCTTTTGGAACAAATGAACTCTTAGGACTCCTTCCGACTCTGAAACACTGTTCTAGCTCTTTTTGTTCCATGGACCATGTTCTGTTGACAGCTGTTGCTCACTTTGCCCATGTCTATAGGTAGTTTTAGCTATATATTTTTTTTAAATTAAATTTCATTTTCAGTCACATTTTTTACTTCTCAATCACCCCACCCCTTGAGAAAACAAGAAAAACAAAATAGCTATTACAGACATGTGCTATACATCTTTTAGATAGTCAAGTCATGAATCATAATTATGGAAACAGTTTCTGCAACTCAAAACCAGAGAATGTTGAATTCTTAATTACCTAAACACAGTGTTTGCTATTATTCCTTTCTTGGAGAATATTCCAGTTCTACAGACTTCTAGCTGTGGAAAGGAATCTATGCTCTAAAACTTTCTACTCCTATAAGCCAAGTCCATATCTAGAACATTCTAAGTAGATGAGAATTTATCCATCTAAAATAGATTATGTTATCATTTTCCCTAAAAAGACAATTATATAACCTGCCTTGATCACTCATCTGAATGTTGCAAAATCCCCAACAGTTTGGAAATTTTTCTTTTTAAATGCTATTAAAGTTTAAATCCAATTCTTTTTTGGTTTTCAGTAGAGATGGAGAATAGCTGGTCACAAGATCTTCTGGATAAATTGGGTGGCAACATGCCATACCAGAAAATACTGGACTGGAAATGAGGCATCCTAGATTTTATTCCTTGTTCTGCTCTTTTGTAACACATGAACTTGAGCCAGTCATTTGTTCTTTTTGAATCAGTTTCTTCATCTGGTAAATGGGGATGATGATGATAGTAACATTTATATAGCACCTACTATGTATCAGGCACTAGTGTTTTATAAATATTATCTCATTTTTAATCCTCATAAAAACCCCGGGAAATAAGTGCCGTTATAATCCTCATTTTATGGTTGAGGAAACTGTAGAAAACAGGCCAAGTGACTTGCTCAAGATCACACAGTTACTAAGTGTCATAGGTGGGATCTGCATTATACTGCTTTTCCCATCTTGCAGGGTTGTTGAAAAGATCAAATGAAAATGATACTCAAGAAGTGCTTTGAAGTGCTAAGCAAATGCAAGATAATTGTCTTATTTGAAGACTATTAGTCATCTCTCAGGTTCATTTTCCCTACAGTCCTACTATGAATAACTGTAGTCTAAAATATTTCCTAATTCTTTGTTTCCAAACCATTAGTAACAACATGTGTTTTCCTTTGAGTTCTGCCCAAGTTGCCTTGGTCCTCTTGAGATGTGGAATCCAACCTAGATTCTGCCTTGATCATTATAAGAGTCTCATAAGACACTTCCTTTTGCATATCCTTATGTTTCTGTTCTCTTTTTCTTTTTTAAACAATGTTGCTGGGTGTGACAATGTGGTAGAGTGGAAATAATGAGGAATTGGAGTCAGGAAATGGGGGTTCAAATCTTGACACTGCTGTTTACTATTTACAGGACTTTGCACAAATGTCTTCCCATCTCTGAGTTTCATCTTCCTCATCTGTAAAACGAGGGGGATTGACTAGATGATATCTAAAGCCCCTTCAGATCTAAGTCATATGACTGATCCTTTGTATTCATTTTGTGTGTCACTGTTTCTGCTTATATTGTTTTCATTTATATTTACAAATAACTAGTTATTTCCAATGATGGATTTGTGTAGTTTGTTCTTTGCTCCAAGAGTGCTCCTCTGATCTTGTTCAAACACAGCTTTATTTGGTTCATTTCTAATAACTTCACCAATTTATTATTTCCAACTCCTGGTGAATCCTTATTTTCAATCATGGGATTTAGAGCTGAAAAGTGACCTCAGAGATAACCTGGCCCAACTCTCTCATTTTATAAAGGGAAAACTGATAATCCAAAAAGGCGAATAGGTAACTCACCCAGTCCTACAAATACTAGAGTGGAAGAACTGAGATTAAAATCTGACTTCAAATCCAGGGCTCTTTCTACTATATTGTGATGATTCTCCCTTGAGCAGGTTTGATCTCGGGGAATGCAGGTGTAGGTCCTGCAGGGGTTAGCCAAAGGTGCCATTTCCTTTTCCTCTTAGGAGACCAAGCCATGTGCTTTGGATTGGACTCAGTTAAAAATAGGATGGGAATGAGCTGGGTGCAGGAAAAAGCATGCAGGATTTGGAATCAGTGGACCTGCATTTGAATCCCAGTTCTCCCATCTAGTACCACTGTAACTCTGGTCTGTCGCTTAATTTCTCTAAGCCTTAGATCCTCTTTTGTAAAATGGAGGGACTGCACCAGATGACTAAAAGATCTTTTCAGGTCTAAATCTACAATACTATGAAAATCATTGTAAAAGGTGTTTCATAATTCTCTGCCTTCTTAAATGGTGTTCTGAATATAATAGGGTTTCTTATGATTTAGGGTCATTATTACTAATATATATTATTGCACTCTATAGTGAGACCTTTAGGGATTTTTAATTAAGGCACATACAATAGAACAGAATAGAATTAAGGCCTAATACAGTTGAACAATCCCATACCTGGTGTTTCTTTGTTCCAACCCTGCTGTTACAGGGGCATAATGGTTCCATCACAAATGTATACTTTCTACTGTTTTTTTTAAAAAACTAGATCTTTTTGGTTTAAAAGCAAAGAATAACAATAACAACAAACCAGCTCTCAGGAGTAGAAATAATACTGAGCTTGAAGTAAAAAAAATCTGGGGTCAAATACTGACTTCAACCCTCTGACCTTGGGAAGTCATGACCTTTCTAAGCTTTGTTTTCCCTCTGTGTAAAATGAAGAGATTGGATTAGATGTCTCTCTAGTCCCTTCTAGATCTAACATTGTGTGATTCTCTTAATAAAGAGGCTAGTCACCTGCTTCTACTTTTAATTTCTGCTACCCTTTCTGCAATCCGCTGATTTCTTTTCTGTCTCTGTCTTTTTTCATTTCTAGATTTGAGCTGTTTCAGATGTTTCAGGTTGCCAAAAGAGTTGATCTCTGGCTAACTGAGGTATTGCTGTGTTATTCTTTCTAATTGCTTGTTTTAAGTTCCCATTTCTAAACCAGATGATAATAGGATTGAGAGCTGAAAGGTTCTTTAGAGACTCTCATCTAACACCCTCATTTTATAGATGAGGGCAAAGGTCCAGAGGGATTATGACCATGACTATTGCCAAATAGTTAGTAAGCATTAGAGGCAGGGTTCTAACCCAGGTATTTCCTCATTGTGGGTTCAAGTTTATTTCTGCTATAATAATGTCTCTAATGAAGAGACTAATTTTACCTCTTCCACACAGCTAATTGTACTGAAGCTTTTGAATAAGCTTAGTGACTTCTCATGAAGTGGGGTGAAAAGGCATAGGTAGGTTGAGATATTCATTTTTATACATGAGTAGTATAATATAAAAAAAAAAGTTATTAGTGTGTACCACCTCAATAGAGCAGCTAGGTGTCGTAATGGATAGAGTGCAGTCCCTGGAGTCAGGAAGACTCATCTTCCTGAATTCAAATCTGACTTCAGATACTAGCTGTGTGACCCAAAATAAGTCACTTAACCCTGTTTGTCTCAGTTTCCTTACCTATAAAGTACACTGGAGAAGGAAATGGCAAACCACTCCATTATTTTTGTCAAGAAAACCCCAAATGGAGTTGTGAAGAGTTGGATACAACTGAAAATATTCAACAATAGCACCTCAGTAAGCACTGAGCTATAATTCCCACTCTCGTGGGTGGATTGGGAACCAGAGGGAAATTTACTTCTCATCTTAAGATTCTAGCATGAGGTACTCTTCAGGAACTGTTACTCCTAAGTCCCCATCCAGTGTATTTCCCAATGTTGACTGACCATTTTACATCAATTCGGTTTTATTTATTTGTTTATTTTTTTATAGAAGGGTATTTACTGAGAAGGCATAAAAAGGACAGGAGATACAAAACTATCTCCCCAAACCAAAGGGTGCATTCTTCTCTTGTGCACACAAGATCATCGAGGTTAATGAGCTTAAACTTAAAATGAGATACATATCCAGAGAACACATGGGGTAGAAGAGTTCCTCATGACTCCAAGCCCTGGCCATCATTTTCTCCTTGGTGGAGACTACCAAGTTCACTCAGAAGCCATCAGAGAAAAACAAGTAAAATCATCCATCCTAAAACTTGTATTTACATTCAATTCTAGCTCAGCCTCTCCTACATTGTAAGTTCTCCCTATGCCTCGTCCAAAGAGAAGACTTTTTGTCACTCCACAGTACCAACCCCTTCTCAGTCACTCCATGATTGGAGGTTAACCAAGATAACCAAGTTGTCAGTTGAAAGCAGACAGGGGATATTGCAAATGTTCTGTATAACTCACCGGGAAGGGCAAATCTTAGCATATTCCTAGGATTGGACCTTCATTAGACAGTTCCCCTATTGCAAAAGTATACAAATGTTCTCGCATCTGTTAATCAATCATAAATAAGTGGTTCACAAAATAACTCCTGATTCTAGAGTCTGAGGACCTCTATTCAAATCCCTCCTCTGCCACTTACTATCTGTGAGTCCTTGGGTAAGTCACTTAGCCTCTCTGTACCTCCTCAATTGTAAAATGAAGGACTTGCATTAGATGTCCTCTGAGACCCCTCAGTCCTAAATTTATTATCCTGTATATGACAACTGGAATGAAAGAACATAAAATATATCAATTAGAAATAATTTTTGTCAGTAAAATGCCCCTTCCTCCAAGTCTCTCTCTGCATATTTTATCATTTGACTACCTTTGTACTTTCCTCAGCATTCTGAAATTTCTTTGATTTTTTTCCCCCAATGACTTTTCAGTACATGATATAAATAAATATGACATCCAGTCATATCATGCAGCTGCTCTTGCTCAAATACAAACTACGTAAACATGCAATGTGCTTTTTATTTCTAAGATTAATTTTCCCCCAAGCTATTACCATTTAGCATCCCTTGAAATCTATATTTTTGTGCTCCTATGCTAAACTCAAAAAAAGAAAGAAAACAGCTTTTCCAAGCACTGACTACATCATTTAATTGTTACTCAGCTCTAGCAGCTCATAGAATTGCTCAGATGAATGTGCCGGGATGGCTTCTGACAGAATGTGCTCTGGGGGGGGGGGAGACTTTGCAAAAACAGTTGGATGATTTCAGTTCCTATTGGATCTCAGAGTGAATCCCACATGCTGCATTTACAGCAGTTAGCATGAATAAATTAAGAGCCAAAAAAAATACATTTCCTCTTATCCTTAGCACAAGATAATTGCTCTAAATTGGGCTATTTCACCAAAGAATAAAATTATGTGCTGCAGGAATACCTTTCCTAATGCAGAAAAGTGATTATTTTTCCTCCTTACCCCTACTACCTCATGAAAAAAACATAAAACAAAATGGGGGGAAAAAGTGAATGAAAAGTCACTGTAGTTTGGGATACCTATTTTCATGTTTATTATACAGGTCAACACACATACTCAAATAGATCTGTGAATGCATAGATATGGATGTTCCTTTCAGTGATGTAGCTCACAGTGCATTATACCCATTCATCCCAAGAGTCATGGCCTTCCATTATTTATATCCAACCAACCTGCTTGGAGTCACCCTTGCTTTCTCTTAATATTACAAGAGTGTGAGTGGAGCACATGGACTTCAGACATATCAGTTATCCTTCACTCAACACATACCAATCTCATCATCTTTTTTGATGCTACATGCTTTTGTAACATTCTTAGCCTCAGCTTTACTTTGTAGTTCCTTATTTGTTATGTATTGTGATCTGTATCATGAGCTTTGTAATTGCCTTAAGTTAAGAATTTTTAATTCTTTAGAGAATGTATATAGAGATGTTGTGTTCCATCATCTGTCCTATAACATCTGGCCACTTGATCTGTTAGTAAGTATCATTCAGAATGTTGATGGGGAAAGCATCAATCTTATTATATAGCTGCTTTACAAAACAAAAGATTATATATGACTTGTTTATTCAATGACTAATTTAAATGTCATTATGATGTCTCTTTCCAGACAGGATGAGTTACTATGCCAATATCTCAACTAATTCTTTTTTGCTCTTTTTTGGTGAGGCAATTAGGGTTAAGTGACTTACCCAGGGTCACACAGCTAGTAAGTGTCAAGTGTCTGAGGCCAGATTCCTGATTCCAAGCCAGGAGCTCTATTCACTGTGCCACCTAGCTGCCCCTCTCAACTAATTTAAAAGGCTAAAATGAAGATTGTATTTAATCATATTATTTTCTATCTTGTATGGTGCTTCTTTTATACTTTCCTAAGTGCTTGCACATCCATAGTCTCATTTGAGTCTCATAACAGCCTTGAGAAGCAGAAATCACCCCCATTTTGTAGATGAAGAAATGGTGGCTCAAAAGATTAAATTTATCAGGCAACAAGTATTTATTAAATATCTATTGCATGCCAGACACTGTGCTGAGGATGTAAGTATAAAGGATAAGATAATCTCTACTCACAGTGAGTTTATATTCTAATGGAGGAAAAACAATTAAGTATAAAATACTTACAGCATAAATACAAAGTTACAAAATACAAATGTTTACAAAATAGATAAATACAAGATAGTTTGGGAGAGAGGGCACTGAATGGTTTACTTGAGTTCTCACAGTTGGCTGGATCCTTGATAAGAAACCTTTTCTCTGGACTTATAGTCCATTGTGCCATTTTTTCCACTTCTACCTTGGTATTATTCTTTCTCTATTCTCTATATATCTCTCATTGACACATTACAAGCTACAAATTATTCAAAGTATAAAGACCAAGGATACATTGGAGATTAGAATTTTCTAAAAATTAGCGAGCTAACTTTTGCCATACAATTCAGAGACAAGTTTTCAAAATTAATTTCTCAAGGTAAATGAATTAATTTTAATCCAAAATAGCCAGATTAAAATCATTTTCTTATTACATACCTCGTGGAAAACTTTTGACTACTCTTTAGAAATTGTATTAATTTATCTTATTTTTGCAAACCTATTTCATTGTTCCTTTTTAAAAAATTTCAGGGTACTTTCATGTGACTCAAATTCATTGGCCTCATTAGAAGGCAGATAATCTCTACACTCTGCTGAGGTGTGGTAAGAAGAAAAAATGCTGGGCTTGGAGTACTCCTTGTGGTGATACTGGCTTGTCTAGTTCTGTGATGATAAATCACTTCACTCCCTCTTTATCTTAAAATGGGCATAACAACCATCATGCTACCTCAGGGTTTGTTCTAAGAAAAGTTATTTTGTAAATCTGGAAGCTCTAGACAAGGAGTTTTTAACTTTGTATCTTGGTCTCCTTTAGCAGTCTGGTAAAACCTATGAACCTTTTCTCAGATTGTTTTTAAATGGATAAAACAAAACATAAGATTACAAAGGCAACCATTTATTTTGACATTGTTGTTTGTTATTGTTCAGTTGTTTGAGCTGTCTACAGCTCTTCACCACCCTATTAGGAGTTTTCTTGGCAAAGATACTGGAGGGGTTTGCCATTTCCTTCTCCAGCTCATTTTATAGGTGAGGAACTGAGGCAAACCCAGGATCACACAGCTGGTAAGTGTCTGAGGCCAGATGTGAACTTAAGAAGTTGTGTGAGTCTTCCTGACTCTGGGTCCAGTGCTCTATCCGCTGCAACACTACCTGCCCTAATTTTGGAATGCAGTTATCAAAATATTAAAAACAACAAAGTTCACAGAGCCTAGATTAAGAACCTCTGCCCTAGAGAAACATGATTTATTGTTACTCTCATCATTCGCATATAAAATGGAAACATGGCTATGGACTAAGAACTAGGGGAAATGCAGAAGAAGGTAAAGGTGGGGAGTGTTCCATTGTTCCGTGCTTCTGTCTCGGGTAGTTTGCACAAGGACAGGCCCATAGGCAATAGGATGAGCCTACAATTCTCCCATGTAAACATGTCATTGGCACTGATTTTATTACTTATAAGTACTAGAGACAATATTCAAGTAATTTCATTGCATTCACTGATTTAGCCTTGAGGTTT